TCTCTCTAAGGCTTCTGTGGCTTCAGACAGGGATATGGGTCCCTTAGGAAGGAGAGGCTTCATTTCAAGTGAAAGATTGGGCATGCCACTTGCTAAGGAGTAGAAATAGCTTCAGGTCAAGGAGGGATTGGGACCGGCTGAGGTCTCTTCAGACCCTGTCTGGGTCACATGGTGATATGTCTTGGAACAAGACTGTTAATGTTTTGACCACTAGTGTCCCGACTCCCGGGCCATTATTCCTCTGTGAAGACCTGTCCAGGCATCCTAAAGTGGAGATAAAAGGGGAGACCTAGAGGTCTGAAACACCTTTTAGTCCAAACTGTCACTTCCTGTTGCCCTTCACCTCTGCAGCATCAGCAGCTCGTGACATGTATCAGGTATGCTGTGTCCTTCTCCCTGCCCTCTCCTTCAGAGACCCAGCTCTTCCCCATCTAGTGTCCCTGTAAAACATGACCCTGGCCACCCTCTGAGTCTGATGACAAACTAATGCCACGTAACCACTGAGGGCTATTGCGGACTAGACAGGTCACCTTGCTAGAGAGTCTTGCTTTTTAAAAGTAATATTTTTAGTTGGGTGTGGCAATGCACACCTTTAATCCCAGCATTTGGAAGGCAGAGGCAGGTGGATCTCTGTGAGTTCGAGGCCAGCCTGGTCTACAAAGTGAGTTCCAGGACAGCCAAGGCTACACAAAGAAACCCTGTCTCAAAAAAAAAAAAAAAAAATACCAAAAACAAAACAAAACAAAAAACCCTAGCAATTTTCTAGAAGCAAGAACTCATCTATTGGAGGCTATGAGGTAGAAGTCTATGATCCAACTTTTATGCTGTTTCAGACAATGGTGCCCTAAGCCCTTGCTCCACGGACCTTAAGCCAACCCAGGAAAGAAGAGGGCAAGGGTGTTCCATAAAGGAGAGAGATTGAGCTGGAAGAGGCTACTGGCATTCAAACACATTCACTTGACCTGCCCCGGGATAGACATTGGATGAGCCAAGGTCAGCAAGGCGCCAAGCAAGGACCCAGAGGAGTTCTAAGAACTAGTGGTGGCCTTGAGGGAGGGTAAGGGCAGAGGATGGGACCGAGAAGCGGTGAAGAGGAAGGTCAGGAAATAGATTGCTTGGTCTGTAAGAATCAAAAGGATATTTCCTGTCTCTGTTTCCTCTCTCTCTGTCTCTTTTTGCACTCTCGCTCTGAGTGTGTGTGTGTGTGTGTGTGTGTGTGTGTGTGTGTGTGTGTGTGTGTGTGTGTGTGTGTGTGATGCATGGATGTAGAGGGCAGTATATAACCTAATCTCTGGTATAGTCCTCTGGTGTGGAGAGAGAGAGAGAGAGAGAGAGAGAGAGAGAGAGAGAGAGAGAGACTCTTCTACTGGCTTGTAGCTCACAAAAGTCTAGGCGGGCTGACCAATCAGCCCCAGAAATCCACCTCTCTCTGCCTCCCCAGTACAAACATCTGCCACTATATCAAGCCTCTCTTTCTATTTTATTATTATTATTACTATTATTATTATTTATTTTTGGTTTTTCGAGACAGGGTTTCTCTGTGTAGCTTTGAGCCTTTCCTGGAACTCACTTGGTAGCACAGGCTGGCCTCGAACTCACAGAGATCTGCCTGGCTCTGCCTCCCAAGTGCCTGGCTTATTATTATTTTTTTTAAATGTGGGTTCTGGGCATCGAACTCAGCTCCTCATGCCAGGCAAGCATTTTACACCCATCTCCTCAGAGGAGACTTGTTAAAACAAGTAAATTCCCACCCCAACCTGATAGCTATAAGAAAACACCATCTTTTCCAGGTAAGGTGCAGCTTGCTTGGTCATCCTAGGCACGCAAAAGGCTGAGACAGGAAGATTACAAGTCTGAGCCCAGCCTGGACGACATAGGGAGATTCTGGTCCCCAGTGGTTTGCAAAAGGGGCACTGCTGAGGAAGAGTCTGGCGTCTTAGCTCTACATAGACCAGGCCTGGGAACGACACAAGTTGGTCCTGTGCTTCACACCCAGCCCTTCCAGGCCCTCACGCAGCCTCACGGCAACGTGGACCCTGGACTTTTCTCTTCTGTGGGGAGCTCGGGGGCTCAGGCCAGCTCCCGCTGTTGTCCACAGCGAGTGGATGTGGGCACAGCAGGGGAAGAGTCAAGGCCTCCCCACACACCCAGGGAGGCCCGTTCTTAATGGGTGGGGCCAGAAAGCTAGAAAATAATAAATAAAAACAAAAGTGAAGAGAAGTGAAGGGCTCGGGTGCCAGAACAGGGCTGGCCGTGGCTGTGGCTGGCTGAGTAATGGGTTCCACATTTGCCTGGCTCTGTTTGCAGCCACTAGGATCCAGGGCGCACAGTGGGCCTTTCTAGGGCCAGAGGGGACAGCACAGCTGTGGGCAGACTTAGCATACCCTTGGGATGGCCCTGTCCCCTGCTAACTACCACATGGGCAAGATGTGGCTGAGAGCTCACACTCCAGCATCCCCAGCCTTCCTTTGCCCACCCCACCCCCAAACCCCACCCCTGCTCCAGGCTCCTGGGCTCCTGCCGGCCTGCACAGATTGTTCGAGTTATTAATGCGTTTTCCCAGAGATTCCATCTGGCTGTTTAATTGTTCTGGGATGGGGCTAGGATGCTTTGATAGTGAATTGGTTTCTTTCCTAGGTTACAGCTTTCGTTAAATGCTCCATCCACAGGGAAGGATAAGGGTGGGGAGGTGTGGGGTTGAGAAAGAAGAGGTAGCATTACAGAGGCAAAAAAAAAAAAAGCTGGTGTGTTAGGGGACAGGAAAAGGAAGAGGGGAGAGAGGAGGGGAAGGAAGGGGAGATGATAGAAAGGAAGAAGAGGGAAGGAGATGGGAGAAAAGGGCTTCCTCTATCCACCAGCACAGCAAAGCAGAGGCTAGGATGTCAACATCATCCAGGCAAGGACAATGTCTCCAGAAAGCCTGTGGGTGCCCTGGAAAAAGTAGCCCCTTGGTTAAGCAAAATCAGGGCTTCTACTCCCTTTGACCTTCAAGACAAGGGGCCCCCTCCCCTCTTGTGAAATCAGCAGCTTGGTGGAGGCCTGGCAGGTTCCACCTGGGCTGGGAAGGAGGGGGCGGGAGCCCTGGGAGGGGCAGACACTCCTCACTCTTCCCAGTGGCTCATAGCAGGTGTCAGGGCCAAACCCCATATTCACAGATTCCCAGGAGATCTAAGAGATAAGGGTGATGTCTGTGACAGCATTAAGCTATCTGGTGGTAAAGGAGTCACCTCCCTCTTTCTTGTGCCCATGTTCCTTTCCTGGAGACTGCCAGGGGACACGGGACTCAGGAGTGTGACAGAGAAAGCAAGCCAGGCAGTGTCTGTCCTGGGAAGGGCTCTCACGGCAGAAGTTTGCAGGCATTTGAGGACAGGGTCCAGGTGGAGCTGGCCTCATTAGGTATGGGGTTCCGGCCGCTGTCTCCACATCAGGAAAGCCCCTTACTGTATCTGTCACCGTGACATGGCTTGCAGTCAGTCACACGGGTGTCAGCTCTCTAAGGGTAAGACCCGAGTCTGTTCTCGGTGATGCCTTGATCCTTGCGCAGGCCCTGGCATCAGAAGGCATCCGATGAATATTTAGGGGTACATTCAGTTATTCATGAAGTTTGAATTCCCTGGAAGGCCACCCCAGCTAGGCAGAGTACACACTGGACAGGGCCACCCCCAACACTATCTACCAGACCACAGTGGAGGCTTCCCTGGTGCGATGGCGTCTTTCTTGTTCCTCACGTGGCCTTCTTGGTGTGTAGGGAAGGGTGCCCTTCCATGAGCCCCTAGAGAGAGGACCCCCCACCTCAGGTGGTAGGAGAAGGAGAGCAAGATGACCCCCTCCCCCACTCCACTCAGCCTAGGACCTGTTCTGGGGGCAAAGGGGGAAGTCAAGGATCATTCCCTGTAAACAAGAAAAACTGGAATTCGCACTGAACTCAGAGAGGGTTTGCTGGGGCCTGCAAGCCATGGCCTGCCCCAGCCTCTAGGCAGGCGGTGGGGCTCTGCCTCCCTAGTTCCCAGGCTGATGGGGCAGGCCACCGCCTCCTCACAGGGCTTGTGGCCTCTCCTCTGCCAAGGGCAGCCATGGGTGAGGAGGCAATGAGGCACAGGACAGAGGGCAGGCAGAGGGGGAAGGGGTTGGCGGAACGAGTTGCCAGCAAAGGCTGGTAACACTAAAGTTTGCAGAATTTGAAAGTCCTTGGCATTTCTCACTAGTATATACTGTGAGCTGTTCAGCCAGTACACTCCAGATGAAGAGCCCAGCGGCCTCGAGGCTCAGGCAGGGATGGCAACAAAAGCTACCCTTTTCTTACTGGGCTGTTCCTGCAGCCCACAGGATGCCTGTACCTCATGGGGACAATTGTAGCAGTGGGTGTGTGATCATTAGAAGCCTTTCTAATGTTTGGTCCAGGATGGAGAAAGTGGGGTTGATGAAGCCTTGACAGGTGATATATGGGATGTGGCCCCTTCCTAGATAGGCTGAGGCAAGGCAGGTCCAAAGGGGTGCTAGCCTGCAAGATGTCCTGGACACCACTGGAGTCTGGAAAGTAGGGAGGGGTGAAGAGTCCTGTTTCCCAAGGCCCCCTGGAAGCCTGGGCAGAGGTAGGTATGGGCCCTTGTTCTCTAGAGAGGAGCTGAGTGATTTGGGAATGTGGCCAAAGGGTCCCTACGCTGAGAACTTCTGGGTGGGCTTGCCCCTCAGGCCGAGTGGTTCTCTTCCGGGTCCCTCTTACTCTGGGATGCAAAGAGAGACCATGATCCTAAGACAACACTACCTCTCCACCCTGAATTACAAGGGGATGCAGTCTTCTGACACTGGCCATTCTCCGTTTAGACTGCTATGTGGCTTCCTTAGGGGAATCTCACCCCCAACACACATCACCAAGGTAAAGAGAGACTCAAGAGGTGCACAGTTAAGACCTCAGACACAAAAAATGCTGTTTCAAATGGAACCCAGCCCAGAACAAACCTTACAAGTGACTCCTTTCTGGTTTTAAAAAGACACCAAAATTGAGTTTGATATGTTTATATTATAGATATAATACATACGACATCTAGCATGAAACTTTGTGTCCCCCCCTCCCAAAAGAAGAGAAGGTAGCAGTCCACCCTACTCCCAGCCACAGGGGTGTGCAGGAATTGGCTGGAGGTGGCCTTCTTTCCAGACCCAGAGCCAGGGCCTTTGGGGGTGGGGGGTAGGCGGGGGAGGCGGCCTGTAGGCAGTCTCAGCTGGAGGAAGCTAAGACCCACAATGACACCCTTGGAAAACTGGGGGAAAGGGGGAAGCCTACTTCATTTCATTGGTCCTCAGGGAGCAAAAAAAAACCCCAAAAAACAAAAAAACAAACAAACAAACAAAAAACAAAACCCAAATCCCCAAACCAAAAGGAAAGAGCCTCAGCTTCTTCCCCCAGCCGCTAGTGAAGAGTCTCATTTTGGCAAGAATCTGAGCAAAACCAAAACAAAACAAAGGACCAAATAAAATGGTGGTTTAGCATAGACGTGCACATTGACATTGCACAAGGCACCGCTGGGACACAGAGACCAGATACAAGTGTTGATATCGGATGATAAAGCAAAATATTTGGGAAGCTTGTCATAACTCCAGTCCCTCTGGGATGGATCGACTGTGCTTCAAGCTCCTTCAGCAACAGCGGCTGGTGACATACAGTACACACAAGGCTGATGGTCCCGGTGTCCTTTCCTCCCCCGCTCCCAAGACCAGAAACCTAGGTTTCCGTCCCCCACCACTCCCTTAACCACATGGCTAACTTACAACCTAGCTTTCTGGTCTGACTGGGGGTGGTGCTCCCCACCCCCACCCCCGCCCCCATTCTCCATGAACTCACCCAGGAAACTTAGCCTGTTGCAAGCTAAGGTGGGGAGTGAACGTGGAGGTGGAAGAAGCAAGGAACTTGGAACCCTCCACCTCCAAGTAACTGAGGTGTGCGTGGGGCACTCTTAGAATCAAATCTCCAACTCCCTAAGTCCCTCCCCTCTAAGGTCAGCGACTGAGGGGCAGCTGCGGAGCACTGCCGGGATCTCAGCTTCCTGAATCTTCCTCCCGCCCTGGGCCTGCACCCTTCATTCTCTCATGGGGGCCTGCTGCAGCCTCCGAGGAGGCAGGAATCCTCCAAATAAAATATCAAGGCACATGTTTGCTCCCCCTACTCGGTAGGAAAAGGAGCGAGTTTTGAGTATCCAAGGCACAGGGTTACTTCCTTAATACTAGAATGGACGGGCTCCCAGCTCAGCTCCGCGGAAAAGTCTCCCGGTTTCAAGGGGAAAATCGCGGCCTGACTCCCTCATCTTAGACGCACCACCGAGTCCGGCTCAGAGGAAGGGAGGGGACACGCGGAGTAGGCCGAGCTTTCGGACGACACCCGAATCTCCTAGTCCTGGCTTTCACGGCTGGGGCAGCCTAGAGATCCAGCGACCCGAAATCATTCTCCAGGTCCCCGGCCAGGGGGCCGGCCCAAGGCGGTCCCGCAGCCCCGCGCCTCACGCGCAGTTGCCCATGGCCTTGACCAAGGAGCTCTCCGGCAGCTGGCGGAAGATGCCCCGCAGCGTGTCCAGTTCACGGCTCAGCTGTTCCACCCGCTTGCGCAGGCGGTCATTGTCACTGGTCAGCTCCAGCACCTTCTGCTGCGTCTCCACGTTGCGCTGCTTGGCTTTATCTCGACTCTTGCGCACCGCGATGTTGTTGCGTTCCCGCCGCACCCGGTACTCGTTGCTGTTCTTGTCCACCGACTTCTTGGCCTTACTGGCTCCGGCACCGCCGCCGCCGCCGCCGCCCGTGCGGAGGTCGGGGTGCGTGCCAGCCAACCCCTTGAGCGCGCCCCCGGGACCCGGCAGACCCGCAGCACCCAACGCGGGCGTGGGGTGCGGGCTGGGCACGGGCGTGGGCGGCGGCGTGGGGTGGCCGGGCTGCAGGTGCATGGTGGTCTGGCCGCAGTGCGCGATCTGGAACTGCAGGTGTGGGGCGGCCAGGTGCGCGGGAGACGCGTGCGGGTGCGGCGGCGGCGGCGGCGGCGGTGGCTGGTAGGGGAAGAGGCCGGCCAGCGCCAGCTGCTTCGCCTCGTCCTCCTCGCGGGGCTCCTGCTTGATCACCAGCGGCCGCAGCGCGGGCGCCCCGACGCGCTCGTACAGGGGCTCCAGCCTGTTGTCCAGGTAGCCGGCCGCCGCACAGCCGTAACCGGGAGGCGGCCCGTGCGCCCCCGCGGACATGACCGCGCCGCCGGGGCCCGCTGGGGCCCCCGGGTAGTCAAAGTCGCCGGCGCCACCCGCGGGGCCCGCGGCCGCCTTGGCCTTCTCCTGCTGCCGGCTGTGCTGGAAGAGGTCGGCCAGGAACTCGTCGTTGAAGGCGGCCGGGTCGATGTAGGCGCTGATGTCTATAGACGTCTCGTGCTCGCAGATGCCGCCCAGCGGCTCCGGGGCAGCAGGTGGGGCTGGGGGCGGCGCGGGGCCCGCGCCCCGGGGAAAGCCGAAGGCGGCGCTGCTGGGCGCGTGCGGGGGGCTCTGGAGGTGGCTGCTCATCGGGGGCCGCGGCTCCACCTCGTAGAAGTCGGCCGACTCCATGGAGGAGTTAGAGTTCTCCCGGCATGGCGAGCCTCGGCGGCCTCCAGCCTGCGCGTGGCGCCGCTGCTGCCGCCGCCCACCCAGAGCCCCAACTCGCTCGCGCCCGCTTAGCTCCGGGTCGCGAATGGTCAGGCCGGCGCCGGACCCGCTTTTATATCGGGTCGGGCATCGCCCCCTGGTGTCCAAGCGGGTCTTGGACCTAGGGCGAGAGCAGGATGGTGCCTACTGGGTCTTAGAGCCCGCCTTCTCTCGCTGTCTTTTTCCTCTCTGTGTCTCCCCAAGGCGGCGAGTGGGGCGGGAGCACAGTGCTCGTGGAGAGAGGCGGTGGCGCAACGCCCACTGCCTCCTGCGCTGCAAGGCAACCCGGCCTGCGCTCAGCCCCACCCTGGCGGCGCTGTCGCCCCCGCACACACGTGGTCCGTGGCCGGGCGCCCCTCCTTTAAGCCTCTCTAAGTCACCCACTTCCAGCCAACACCAGGGAGCCCGGGAGCATCCAGAGGCCGAGCAGGGAGGGGTAGGGGTAGGGGGTGGAGAGAGAATGTTAGTCTTGAGCTACCGTGGTGCAGACTGGTCTTAAAAGCTAGGACTAGGCCTATCCCCTACCCCGGTTTCTAAAAGAGAGCAGTGGCGCGGGAGGTTGGGAACTACTTTGGACCAGCAACCTAGCGCGCACCGCCGAGTGCGAGGTCCAGAGCGCTGAGATTGTCTTTATCTCTGAACTCCAGGCGACCCCACTGATTCCAGGCAGAGCACCTCTTCCCCGCCCAGCTTCTCTACCCTGGGGTCCCACGGGATTTTCAGAGCAGGGCGCTAGGACCCAGCAGGGAGCGGAGGCGGCCGCTAACCCGGGAGCCCCGAGGACCTGGCCGGTCCCTCCGCTCCGGCTGGAAAACTTTCTTTTTAATTACGTCTCCAGGCCAGAGCGTTCGGATTGCTAGGCTTACAAGGCGGACTCTGCTACCCTGTGTGGAGCCTCTGGTCAAGTGTTTGGCGTTTTTTTCCTCCTCGGGACTGGCGGGTGGGTCCTCCGAGACACAGGGAACAGGACACTAGGGCAAGCGCTCGGGGGCGGGGAGAGGGCAGGGTGTTGGAGAGAGAGAGAGCAGGGTGTGGGAGAGAGAGGAGGTGAACTTGACTCAGGGAGCGTGATCTTCAAGCGGGACCCCTAGTCAGGGGCCTGAAGCCAGTTTTCTTTTCCTACTGTCATTCAGGTGGGCACTACTCTCCGTAGCCGGGTGTCCAGTTCCTAGCTACGGAATCTGAGCACCCACTGGGAGTACCCTGTCGGGTCCTCGAGATCCTCAGCATCGCGCCGCCTACAGGCTCGCAGCTGTGGGTAGGAGTTGCCTGCACAGGCTCCCCAGCCACGTGGCGTCCAGCTCATTCTTCACCTGGATCGCGGCCGCCGAGGTCTGGGGCACATAGGGCGGGTGAACACCCAAGTCTCTCCTTTTTGCACCCCGAGGAACCTTTTGCGGCCTCTTGAGCTGTGGGCCTGACGTCTTCCCGAGCCCCATTTGTCTGCGTTCCAGGATGGGGGGGGTCCCCCTTCCTGAGACTCCAGGGTGCGCAGGTCAAGACCCCCTGTGCAGTGGCCCTCTTAGCTCAGGAAAGGCGCTACGATCCGCCCAGGAGGCTCAAGGAGGCGCGGCTAAAAACTCAGTTGGGGAGGCCCGCTGTGCTTCCACTGTGGTTACAGTAAAGAACCGACTTCGTCTGGAGGACGCATCCTGTACTTTAATCAAATTCCCATTCAACATATTCTCTGTGATTAATGACCCAACTGCTTCATTTTCGGGCCAGAGCGCATAAACAAGATATTTTTAGCTTGATGCTTTTGAACTGAGAGAGTAAAATGCAGCTACACTAAATAAATAACCTGGTGTGAGCGGAGCATCACTCTGGGCCAGATGTGCGACCCATTTATACACTATGCACCTGTGGAGTGTCCCCTGGAGAGAAATCCTTAAAAGCCAAGTGGGATCTTCAGCTTTCTACTAAGCTAAAAATAATGTTTGTTTGTTTATTTGTTTTCCCCCTGAGGGGAAAGGGAACGCCGGGAGAAAGTTCCTAGCTAAGAGAGACATAAGCAGGAGGCTGACACCGGGCGCATCCGTAGTTGTCCTCACTTGTGCAAGCACAGGGACTTGAGGTTGGAGGGAGCTGGAGCACAAGAAAGTCACAGTCATCAACAAGGAAGGGTGTGATAAGTGCCTGAGGTGAGGAATGGGGAATGGGGCTCCTGCCCCAAAGCCTGCAAGTCCTGAATAGCTGAAGGGGCCCTTTACCCTTCTAAATTCCCAGGGCTGAGTGAGAAGTGTCCGGGCACATGACAGACAGCGGGACAGACATGCCATATTCATGGTAGGAAAAGGGTCACCATAGAGGAGGGGACACCAGAAGAGCAGGGGCCAAGCCATCACCCATGAAATGGCCCTCCGTGTTAGGGATGGAAACGGGAATTAAGGATATCCATGATACCATGGAGGCACCCAGCCACAGCCGATTCTGGGCTCTCTTGGTCTCAGATTTCTAGCCTCCAGAGGAGTGAGGACCAAGTATGTATCTTTACACAACTCAGTTGGTGGAATCCCACTGAGGTGGAGGGCTGAGGAGAGGGCTTTATGCAGGAGTGAAGCTTTGAGCTATTTCCTGAAATGGGCAGGAATTCGCCGGAAGGATAAGGAAGGAAGGAAAGCCCTCCCCCCAGCCCCGCCCCGTGGGGGAGGGAACAGCAGGTGCAGAGGTTGGGAGGCTGCCGGCCATGGCCTGTGCTGGTAACAAAGGACAAGGTGTTTGACAGGTTGGAGTGTGGGGCGAGCTAGGGAGGGGCCTAGATAAGGCTGGATCCACAGACAGGGTTGGGTTGATGGCCAAGGCCATCCTAGGTAAGAGAAAGTACAGGCTTTTATCCTCTGGTGGATGGTCTGGGAGCTTTGTCCCACTTGGCTTCCTAAGAGGCTACTCTGGCTGAAATGGAGAGGGGCGTTTTAGCTAGGTGAGAGACAATGGAGCCCAAAAAATGGTGTGGCGCTGCATACCCTTAGTCTCAACACTCTAGAGGTCAAGGCAGGAGGATGACAGGTTCATTGACAGTCTAGGCCACACAGAAAGAACTTGTTTCAACCTACTCCTTCTTTCTGCCACGAGAAGGTACAGAGGCCACCTAGGATGAAGAAGGGGACAGGATCTATTTAAAGAAGAAGCCAGGCTTCTGGCTGGAGTTGCCATCTTGTGACACATACGTCTTCCTCCAAACCCCTGGAGCACACTGGCCTGAGTCTGTGGTGGGGGTGGAGTGTTTCTAATCCACTGTTTATTAGTTATTGGAGAAGCTAACGGAATCACCCATAGATTATATGTCCTATCTCATCAGGAGGCCCTGAGTAAGTGAGGGGCTCCACAAACCCATTAAAATACTTACCTCATCATTTACTAGCTGAATTTACTTGACCTTAGACAAGTTACTTCTGAATTTCTTGGTAATCTGTTGTAGGGCACGTGGAAGGATTCGGGGGAATGTGCTGAGCTCTGTTCTGGGTATGCTGTTGCTGCTGATAAGGAAGACCCTCATGAAGTGTTCTTTGTCTTGTTGGCTTCTAGGAGCATATACACTGTTGAGGTGCTGTTTCTCCGGAAATTGTCACATTGAGGAACTCACTTTGGATGATTATTGGATGCCTGATGAGGTACTATGCCGGGTTTCTCAGCCCGATCTTAGGCAAAACCATGTGAAATTAATCTCTACTAAACATCCCAGAAGTGATTTGCCTGTTAGGAAATGTAACTGTGGATGCCATGGATGATCGTAACCATGAGTATGTGTTATATCAAAAAAAAAAAAAAAAGCTGAGTTACGAGAATCAGCTGTTTCCAGTTTTCTCTTCCTATTCACCGACTCCAACACGTGTGTGGTTTCTTTTGTTGTTTGCATTGTGTTTCCCATTTGCTCAAAGCTGTTAGCAGATAAGCAAAAGCAGGCACTGGAGAGTCTAGAAGAAAATCAAACTGCAGAGGATTTTTAAAAATTCATTCTTAGTTTTGTTTAGCAAATTGAGAAGAGTTCTTCATACTATTTTGATGTAAAGCTCCGGGATGAACCCCAGGACCCCCACCCATCGAGGAAACACCGCTTAAAGGAAATGCTGGACATGGGCACCTCTTCTCCATGGTCTGTAGGACCAAGAACAGTGGTACAAATCACAGCCCCGTTGCATGTTTTATTAAATACCAAATTACCACTCAGCCAGGGCTTGGTGACACATGGCTGTAATCTAAGCACTTGGGAGGCAGAGACAGGGGAATCACAGGTTCTGGACTCTGGCTGAGAGTTCAAGACCAGCTGAGGCTACACAGTGAGTTTCAGGCCAGCGGTTCCATAATGAGACACTGCCTTGGGAAAAAGAAAAAGCCAGGTGGTGGTAGCACAAGCTTTTGATCCCAGCACTTGGGAGGCAGAGGCAGGTGGATCTCTGTGATTTCAAGGCCAGTCTGGTCTACAGAGCAAATTCCAGGACAGGCTCTAAAAGCTACACAGAGAAACTCTGTGAGAACAAAAAACAAAAAAGAAAAGAAAGAAACCAAACCCAAACACCATTCTTCAAAAATTATCAAAACCAAAACCAAGAAACCATTAGGTAAAATATATTCTAGATTTCCCGTCTTAAATAACATTACTTCATGGCTTGGGGATATAGTGTAAGTGGTAGTGCTCACCCAGAATCCAGCAGTGAGGGGCTGGGGTGTGGCTCAGTGGTAGAGCACCTGCCTCGAATCTACTGGTGAGGGGCTGGGGTGTGGCCCTGTGGTAAACACTTGCAGGAATCCAGTAGTGAGGAATTGGAAGTGTGGCTCAGTGGTAGAGCACCTGCTTGACTTCATTAGGAAGAAGCTGAGAGTGTGGCTCTGCTGTGGAGAGCCAGCACAACAAACAAAAAGCAAATTTCAGAATGTGTGAGAGCACCAGACTTTGATTTTGAATTTAGCTTTAGAAAAATAGTGGTGAGGGTGGTGGGTGGGGTGGGCCAGAGGCAGATGGATGTTTGCCAGTTTGATCCAGCCTGGTCCATCTACAAAGAAAGTGTCAAGCTAGTCACAACCACACAGTGAGACCCTGCCTCTAAACAAACAAACAAACAAACTGTGATGCTCCAAAAAACCCAACCATGTCCCTTCTCTTCCCTGTCCTAGAGCCTTCCAGGTGGGTC